TGGTCCAAATTATCTTTCTCCTTTTTTCCTCTCATTAAGGCATATCACATCAATTGTTTTTAGCCTTTAGATGATTAATCTACGGTCCAAACTATCTCCCTACTTTTCTTATTCTATAAAGTCATACCACCTTACTTTTTACGTTTGAATCATCATTCTACATACTATTTAAATTTAAATTATCATAAACCACATTAATTTATTTAATCTGATATTATTTAGCTATCTTACACGTTATTTTTTTATTGTTATCATACTAAATTCCCGCAGCAATGCGCGGGATTTCACCTAGTCACCTAATAATCAAAGATCCCCGTGGGGGCCCACCTGCTGATCGATAACGGTCGCTGTGACGGTGGGCCCGGGGTGGCCTGGGTCGTGATTGGGTGAGGCCGTCCGTCGGAGGGGTAGGTGTGTGTAGGTAGGCTTGGCTCTGAGTGTGGGGCCCATCCGACGTGGCGTGGTGTGTAAGCCAAGACGACACGCATGCACAAATCCGGTTCGTCGAGGTTGACCCATCGCGTTAGACACATACAAGCGGGGGCGGCTAACACCCCCCATCCTTTCTTTCTCCTCATCTTCTTCTCTTCCTACTACACCATAAATTTTTAAAAAATAAAAAACATAAGCTTGAAAAAAATTATATATAGAAATACTATATATAAAAAAATTAAATTTAAATTTAAATTTAAAACAGGTATGTAAACTTTTGACTTATAAACTTTGGGTCTATAAACTAATATTTGAATTTAAATTCAAATTTTAATCGGGTATATAAACTTTTGACATAAACTTTGGGTCTATAAACTTTAGATGTACAAAATACTATATATAAAAAATATTTGAATTCAAATTCAAATTTGAATTGGATATAATTCAAATTCAAATTTGAATTGGGTATGTAAACTTTTGACTTATAAATTTTGGGTCTATAAATTTTAGGTGTATAAACTTTAGATGTATAGAAATATTATATATAAAAAATATTTGAATTCAAATTCAAATTTGAATCAGATGTATAAACTTTAGGTCTCTAAACTTTAGATGTGTAAACTTAAGGTGTACAAACTTTAGGTGCGTAAATTTACTAAAATAAGAAAGTAATGTGGTGCCAAAAAATGAAACCATATGGAGGAAAGGGGAGCGCCCAGGGGCGATCGATCGCCCCTTAGCATTTCCGCATACAAGCTGGTGTGTGTTAGAGCAAGGCTAATAATACAATCGATATGTTGTTTATAAGTTTTTTTTTAGCCTTCTCTATAGGGTCCACTTGTCTCTCTTATAGAATTTTTTTGGTTCTTGTGTCCAAGCCGGTTGTAAGTTTACAGTCCGCTTCTTTTCTCTCTCTCATCTCTTCTATCATTTGCCTCGGCATTTAGCTGGTTTATAGCCTACTATTATTATACTTGCTCTTAGTACTGTATGCTTTTTTTTTCGTTTCTATAATTTTCAATTTTCAACTTTCGATGCAATGAATGATGATGAATCTTGGTGATGATGATGATGATGAACGAGCTGAAGTTAGGCAAAGATTCAGGTACTAGGAGTAGTAATAACAAAAACAAAGTTCGCATTTGATTGGTTTTAACTTCCGTGTTTGAGATCGACACTGCTTCAGTTACGACTTACGAGTTGGAGCTATCAGCGAAGTAAGCAAGATGGCAATCATGTAAAGACACGATATTTGGTTTGTTCAGTAGCTAAAACCTGGGATTTACAAAACCGTATTATCATATTGTTATCCCTCCATCGTTTCGTTAATCCAAGACTGATATTACATATTCTATATTTAGATTTATTGTATTAGAATATATCATATTCAGTACTAGATTGGTTTTTTATGGGACGGAGGGAATATGCGGTAACCTTTTCAGTTTCAAAATCATGGTATATCTTGTGGTAACCGCTAAACCGTGGGATGATGATAACATAAACCCTGCTAAAGCCTAAAGGAAACAGCAGCTTTTGGATGATGATGAGCTCTCGGCCTCATGCAGTGCCGTCCGCGCTGCATCTCACTGGCCTCGCCATGGATGCTGCCTCAGCAAGCACACGCCCAGTGATTCCTGACTCACAGGTCAGAGAATCCTTCACCACCACTTCTGATGATAAACAGTGATCTGAGACATAAATCTTTCTGTAACTGCAGCTCGATTATTAGTACCGGTCACTTGGTGCTCAAATGTTCAGTAAAAAAGTTCAGAATGCTCAAAATGCTCAGTCACAAATTCAGGCTGCTGAAATAAAATTGTTCAGACAGATTGGTTATTTTCAGTAAACGGTGTTGATTTAAACAGAGATACCTTTTTTTCCCGCCAAGGGGAAAATCCAGGGGCCAGATGAATCCTGTGGGCGTGCACCAAAAGTCCTGGTGATTCGATCGACCAGATCAAGAGTACGACCACCACCACCATACTTATGATGCTTCATTAATTAATCACCCATTAGTCCTATCTCTTTACGATTGTACTAGTAATAAATAATCATCCACGGCTTAATAATGAATAAGTGCAAACGCTTGTTAGGTCAGGTGACGATGATATCCTCCTATATCATGATTTAGTATACTCCATGTTGTAGCTTAGCATGTTCTTCCTGGACCATGACATCTAAATTAACTACTAGCTTGATATCCAGCTATCCATGCATGCATCGATTGTGCCATTTGTGCGGTTCCTGCAGACAGACAGACTGAACATGTCCTAACTCTTAAAGAACAGGTTACAAAGGGGCAGCAGAAATGTCCTACTTCTTTCAGCTTGATTATGTAAATTGATAGTAGTACTAGTACCTAAGACACTGAAAATGGTTTATATTAGTCATATCTGAATGTGTCTTTAGTTTGGAGGTCTTGATCAAAAGCATCCGAATATTGTGGAAGAACAGCTGCAAAGTGCTGAACCCACCAAAGTCTCACTTTCAGTGATGGTATTGGTATGCCTGTTCACCTAATCAAAAGTTGTTGGACCTTCTCTTCCAACTTCTTTTCTGAAGCTAAGCTTCAATTTCCTAACTGTTCAGTGAAAAAAGGGGGAAATCGACAAGGCATCCTACATCTGATAGCTTTGGACTTTGCTTCTAGTTGCAAGTACTTGAACATTGGCAAAACTTGTACTACCATGATCTGAGCAGCAATGGTCACCATCTACAACATGTACTACCTGTCAGTTTGGCTGTGTTTAGTTCAGCGCAAAGTTTAGATTTTGATTGAAATTGAAGATGATGTGACTGAAAAGTTGTGTGTGTATGACAGGTTGATGTGATGGAAAAAGACTGAAGTTTGGATCCAAACTTTGGATCTAAACTCAGCCTTTGTTACTATGGTCTGGTCATCACCTGAATTTTTCTTGATCTGCAATTGAACTTGAGATAGCCGGCAGACAACGGCATTGCCTTTGGCGTTCGGGTGATGGAAAAAAGGCCCTTGGAATGGAAGCAAGTCTCAATGACCATCATGTCTGTCGTGAAGAATTTTACGACAGTCGGTGTCATGAGGTCAAAAGATAGTTTCGTTTTGCCTTTGCAGGCTTTCATGGGTCAACTTGGGAGCTGGATCTCTTCTGAACTTGTCAAAAAAAAACTAGGATACGATCATTTCGCTGATTTTGAGTTCGTTATATTACACTGAGATGTGTTCACGATTGATTTTTTTCAGAGGATATTCTTTTGCATTTATATGTTCATACATATAGCCCAACTACGCAGCCCATGCTAGCTATCTTTTCTTGGTTTGCTGAATCTGTCTTTTTTTTAGGTGCATGGGTGCAGGTCAGTGTGCATTAGTACTTTTGAATACTTGCTAAAAAGCTAGGTTGATGATCAAACCATACCCATTACTGAAGCAAGGTGATGAATTGACTGAACAACAGCAGCAAGTGCTGTCAAATGGTGAGGGCACTCTCAATAAAGGAATTTTGTATGTTATTAGTATCACAAATGCACAATAGATTTTCTTAAAAGGTACAAGAGAAAAGGTATTCTACTCCATTTTACAGTTTCTAGTCATGTGATATGCAAACTCTTAAGAACTGGCAACGTTGAGTGGCAATATTCAGCAAACCAGCAAGGTTTTTCTAACCACTTGAAAATGAGAATCTGAATTTCTACAAGGTAAAGTACAAAGCACATGGAGAGACAGAGTAACTAACCTTTTTATTCCCCTCTCCTGTTCAGACTCTGTCAACTCATGCTAGAGTACTAATCTTATTTAATTAGAGACAACAGTGCCACCTAGTTGACCATGACTCACATGCACACACAATTTGTCTGTCAGATTTGGTTTCAGTTTCACTCTCAAATAGTAATCATCATAGCTACTTCCATTTCATGCAGTCTGGTGGAGCCTTTAGGGACAAATATGGATAGATTGGTAGGTCCTGGTCTTTCCTTGCAACTCAATTTTACATGGTGGATCAGGTTCTTTCTCTCCCTAAATAATTTCCTATCCTTTCTGTTAGGTCATGTGGCCCAACTAGTGAATGTTAGTGAAGAGTTTTATAACCAAGCCTTATGATGGATTTTGCAGTCACCGATAATGCGCAATAATGCTCCACTATCCCATTCTTTAGTAATCTCTACTTGTGGTCTAAAGATAAAGATATTCTTTATAAGGTCTCAAACAAAGCTTTGCAACTGTCGCTCACTGTCTGAGCTTAGGTGGTTTTCCTAAAGAAAAAACTCATTTTAAATTTTTGTTAAAAATCGGTTTGCTACTTTAGTACTCCATCCGGTTTTCAGTAGATCACACTTTTGACTTTTAGACATATGTTTGATTGTTCGTCTTATTAAAAAATAAGGATAATCGATATTTTTGCATATTGTAAAATTTATTTTTAAGTAAGACCAATAGTCAAATTGTATATTCAAAATCTAACAACGTCATCAGTTAAAAACTAGAGAGAGTATTTATTATTCAATCAATCAAATAAAAAGATAAACAGACTTGTAAAGAATAAATGGGCCTGAAATACACTGGGCCGGAAGCCCATCCTACTGTGTGAGAAACTTTCAGGCCCATGCGGTTTCGTCGTGGGCTTGGCGTCTCCGAGCTTTTACGCACAAAAGAGGCAAAATCTTTCACGGCGACGTGGCACAGTATGGCTCTGGCTCACCGACTCTGCCGTCTTCCTCGCCTCCTCCCCCTCGCCGCCGCCGCCGCCGCCTCCAAACCCTACCTCCCCGGAAAACCTAGCCCCGCGCCTCCTCCTCCCCTCTCCTCCCCGCCGCCGTTTCCCTCTCTCTCCCGCCTCTTCTCCACCACCCCCTCCTCCTCAGGTACTCACCACTTCTCCTCAAGTGGTTACTGGACTCGAGATAATCGTGTTTTCTTTTCTTTTTCTTTTTCTTCTTTGTTGTTGCAGGTGATTCCAGCATGGTGGTGGTCGGATCGGCGGAGTCCTTCACCAGCATCATGTCCAAGGTGGAAGGTGCGGCGCGCCCGATTCCTCTTCCTCTCCCCTTCCACCTTTGCTGCTGTTGTTTGTTAGTGTTTTGGTGGGTAGGATTGGATCATGGTCTCATGGATGCGCGCGATTTCCTTTTTGCAGCGGAGAAGCTTCCGGCCGTGTTCTACTACACGGCGGTATGGTGCGGGCCTTGTAAGTGCCGGATCTTCGTGCCGAAATTGGGATTTTTGGAATTAGATGGTTGATGATGATGTGAGGTGTTATAAGATGGGTTGTTTGGTGTTTGTAGGTAGAGCGATGGCACCCGTGATTTCAAAACTGAGCAGCCGGTACCCCAAGATACCTATCTACAAAGTTGACATTGACATGGTAAGTGGGCGGATCCAAATCTCGCTGCGATTGTGATGCGCCGAAGTGTTCTTCTTGCTCAAATAGGTGTTGTTGGGATTAAAATTGCAAAATTGTTTGGTTACTCATATGTTCATAGTTGAAGATTGTTTGTCATGTATAATTGCATTACCTCCCATGTGTTAACTGCAGAGTAGTATTTTTGACCCCTGTCCTTTCAAAGTTTAGGTTTGGCTTATGCTTTTTAGGGTGTGTTTTAATCTTGAGCAAGGGAAGTTCTATCCTTGCTAAGTTAGGAGAGGCATTTGGTACAAACAAAAAATCCTAGATTTTGAGGGCAAGTTAGGCAATAACTGCCTCAAAATCCTTGCCCACCAGGGAGAGCCAAATCAGCTCTCCTCCAGCGGCAAGCAATGATCGTTGGTAGTTTTGCTTGAGCAGCCATGAAACCAAATGAACTCTCTTGTTGCCATAGGCTATATAGCCTAACCTGACTACTTTGGCATTGCTTGGCTAGGCAAAATATTCCAGAAATCCAAACGTGCCCTTAGTAAACTACAATGCTTAAAACTCAAGTGCTAGTGATTGAACCAATCCTGTTCTTCTGTAGAAAGCCTCGAGTCAATTGACCAATCTGGATCTAGTCTGAAATATTTCGCATCATTCTAGCACTACTTATGTTCAAGTATGGGATCTGCATATGTAGAAGGCAAAGTTATGAGATGGGAATTTTTCACTGAATATCCGTAATACTGTTCCATGAATCACTGTTAATCAAGATGGTGTCCGGTTCAGAGCTTCCTACCTTTGTATTCTGATTTCAAAGACTAATATGCTACACTGTTTGGTTAGTTCACTCAATAACTGGAATACTCTATTGAGAACACTCCTATACTTTCAGTACATTGAAAGGCAAAATGTGTTTCACTATGTTACCAATTTTGATTATGGCTGAAATAATTATCTGAACCTTATGGCCATGCTTGGACATGTTTATTGATAGGCACTTCCCTGACCTGTGTTGCTTTTGCAGGATGGTGTTGGAAGCAAACTAAGTGATCTAAAAATATTCTCTGTGGTAAGTTGCATTGTACTATGACTATAGCTCATGACTGTGTGCCTAAATTTCTGCGCAGCTTCCTCCAGTTATCTAGATCTCTTTTTCTTTGTTGCCAACATGTTTTGCTCTTGTAGCCAACATTCCATTTCTACTACCAAGGTCGGAAGACAGGTGAGGTGGTTGGTGCTAATGCGACAAAACTTGAATCAACCATGGAAAGTCTTCACAAGTAAGAAATTCAATTTATATTATTCCCTTGTTATCTCTGTTGTTAAATAGATGGACATAAAGAAAACCTGACCAATTAAATTTAATCCTGTCACTACAAAACAAGCAAAACCTTGGTTGTGATGATAAGATATGCATACGAGTTCATACACTTGTGTCCATCACTTACTAAGTGCCCCTGGTATTATGCTTTTGTTGCACAGGCAACTATAGAAGTTTTGTGGAAGAATATGACCGGGAGGTGGCCAGATGTCTCCATGTGCCTTCCATCAACGTGTTTGACATTGATATTTCTGAACCTTCTGGTTGTTTTTTATCATGCTGAATTCAGTACATTGCACCTCTTGTTTATTTAGCACAACTTTGTATAGTCTGCATGTCTAATATCAGAATCAACGCAAACATTCTGTTGGGATGCAGCAACCCACTAATTTTGTTGGGATAGACGTGAAGGAATTCTGGGCCTGTCAGTCCATCCATTGTTTTTCTGGGCCTTTGTCATAGTTCAACCATTCCAGTGTTGGGCTACAAGTCCCCCAGAATTTTTTCTCGCCATCGGCACAAGTTAATCATGAACCTACGATGTTTGGCGTCTCGAAAGTGAAAAAAAATAAATTAAATGCTTGAGTTTCACCTGAATTTCTGAGCAATCTGGTGCGTTGCACCGTATACTGTGATCGTGCTCTACCCACTAGGCCACTATCCAGACTATCCATACTCCAAAGGTCAAAACGGCCACGCACGGACAGATGCAGGGGTTCTTGAACAGGTGAAAAAAAATAGATGGACATAAAGAAAACCTGACCAATCAAAACGGCCACGCACGGACAGATGCGAGGCGGCAGGAACGAAAATATGCCATTGCCGAATTAGCACTCCAGATTCAAAGGCCTCCTTCGAAACTGCAGGCAATTTGAAGGAGCTTTGTGCGAACTGAACTACCACTAAGGCTGTGTTTAGTTCACGCTAAAATTGAAAGTGCTTGAAATGGAACGATGTGATGTAAAAGTTGAAAGTTTATGTGTGTAGAAAAAATTTTGATGTGATAAAAAAGTTAGAAGTTTGAATAAATATTTTGGAACTAAACACGGAGTAAAACTCTGTAAGGAACTTTGTGGGAACTGAACTACCATGAGAACTCAGTAAAAATGTTATGTTCTTTTTTTATTAAGATACATATTTTATCTTAGGTTTTTATTAGCATGTTTTTTAAATATGTTTCATATGAAAATTTTCTATATAAAAATTACTTTAAAATGAAATAAATTTATTTTTAATGTAATAATTAAATCTTAATTAATCATACGTCAATTGTTTTTTTTCGTTTGTCCAACTTTATTCTCCATCCACCATAATACTACCTCCGTATCATATTAAGTTATTTTTTACTCCTACTTATCTCAAAATAAGTTTATTTCTAAGTAATTAAATTATTGCATCAGAGTTTGAGTTTATGAAAGTATGGAATAATTACATTGGAAGTAGATAAAGTAAAAAATAATAACTTCCGGATTTGATAAAGTAAGAGCATTCTAATGTTTATATTGGTATGTGGGGGATGAATAAAAAAAACAAGCTTTAGGGTCCCTTTGAATCGCAGGAATGGAAAAACACAGGATTCTAACAGGAATAGAAATGCAAAACAGAGGATTACAAAACACAGGAAAAACACAAGAATGACGGTTTGATTGAACCGTGGAAAAAACGCAAGAGTCGGATGAGAGAGATAGACTCAAAGAAAAGTTTCCAAGAGATCGATTTGGGCTTTTACTAAATTTCCTCCAAAATCTCTATAGGATTGTCCATTCTATAGAAATTTGAAAGGATAGGATTCAAAGGGCTTCATAGGAAATTTTCATATAGAATTATAATCTTCCAAAATTACTATGTTTTTCCTCTAAATCAAAGAGGTCCTTTAACGGATAAGGGTGTGTTCGCTGGTTGTACTTGGTTCCCAACCGAACCCTTCACACGGAAAACAGAGCAATCCATTAGCGCGTGATTAATTAAGTATTAGCTATTTTTTTAAAAAAAGTGGATTAATTTGATTTTTTTAAGCAACTTTCGTATAGAAACATTTTGTAAAAAACATACTGTTTAGCAGTTTGAAAAGCGTGCGCGCGGAAAACGAAGGAGAGGGCCCTTTTCCCAACCAAAATTGTGTCTAGTTTACACCAAAATTGGAATTTGGTTGAAATTAGAACGATATGATGGAAAAGTTGAAAGTTTATATGGGTAGAAAAGTTTTGATGTGATGAAAAAGTTAGAAGTTCGAATAAATATTTTGAAACTAAACATGGCGTAAGCAAAGATGCAAAGCATCCAATGGCGCCTGACACGCACAGCGCCTTGTGGCGGGAACGCAGGTGTAGTAGTGGCCAGGTGCAGTGCAGGCTACGGTGTAGTACTACAGTACATGCATATGCATGCACGCACGCACCGGCTGTGGAGATTATGGATATCCCATATCTACAAGGCGACAATATTTGGGCTGAATATAGGATACCGAATATAGATAGAATATCTTACTTGTATCTCGGGTTTGTTTCTTAACTTGTACATCAAGGAAACACCTTGAGACTTAGTCGGTCACGACTGTATTTGATCTGTATCTATGTATTCCGTTAGGGATATCGATTATCTTTTGTAACCCGGACTCCTTCCCATATATAAGGAGGGTCTGGGCGCCTCTAGGGGCGGATGTTGATTTTCTCTAAATCATACAATCAATAATACACTCGGCGGATTCATCCCCGGACAGGAGTAGGGTATTACTTCTTTTATAAGAAGGCCTGAACCTGTATAAATCCTTTGTCTCCAAACCCATACACTTTTCCAGCTTGATAGCCACCCCCTTTTATTATTGCCGAAATCTAGTTTCGACAGTTGGCGCGCCAGGTAGGGGTAGCGTCAAGCTTTTCGCCGATCAGTGCAATGGGTTCCGTCTCCGGCATCGACGACCTCGTCTTCCCGCCCGGGCAGACGTTTCGGTTCGGCAGCCTCGACTTCGTCACCAACAACTTCGGCAAGATTTCTCTCCTCGACTCGGAATCAGACCAGTCGGGAGAGAACCGGATTTCGGTCCCGTTTGGATTCCCGAACGCGGCTGAAAGCTACTTCAAGACCATCTCAACCGAGTCGGCTTCAAACCACTCGGCCGAGATCGCATCTTCTCCAACGACACCAGATCAAGATGACGGGGCTTACCCACCAGTCCTGATGAAGCTCCCCGACGATTTAGCGGCCGTCTTCACCACGACAGCGTCTTCATCCCGTAGGCCTAGGCGGAAGTCGGCTTCAACACCGATTTCGCCTAGCTTCAGGGAAGTCGGCGTCATCCTCCAACCACTCGGCACGGTTTCGACGGATCAACTGGATGACTACAACAGCTCTCCCACCGTCGACTCACGTCCTACTGACATCGTGGAGTACGACGAATTTAGTTCTCGCTACAACGACTTCGACGACTTCGACGACTTCGACGGAAGCCTAGATGACAACTACACCCCTCTCTACTTTGGCGTTTTCATGGCCAATAATGAGACGGAGGAGCAACGCCAAGCCCGGGAGACCGAAGAACGTCGCCGACTGGAGGAGGAGCATCAAGCACAAGAACAAGAACGGCTACGGCGTGAGCAGCAGGACCGTGAGCGGATCGCGAAGGAGGCTGAGGATCGACGTCAGCGAGCTTTGGAAGCAGGGCGCCGAGCGCGTGATCTCATCGGCCAACAAGATGTCGAAGGGACACCGGTTTTCCGCACCCCTCAACAGAATGCGGTTGCCGCGATCACCCTTCTCGACACCCTCCTCAACCAAAACGAGCTCAATCAATCCGACCACGTCGTCAACATCTTGAACCAGACGAAGACCATGATTGCGGCTTCGGTCCCAGTTAACTCCGAAAGCGTCCACACGCCGACTGGCAGCCGAGTCCCCCACTTCCGATCTCATGACTACCGTCATCCAAGCCTCAGCATCACCGGCGCAGGATCCAATCGCAGGAGCAGGGGTCACGACGAGCGGTCCATTCACTCACCTCCCGACCAATATAGGGAGCGCCGAGTGGAACGGCCTCGCTCACCACCTCGTCGCCGCCCCATCGATCTTCGCGACACAATCATACAACGCCGAGCAGCTCGAGGCTATCATCCTTCACCGGACCGCCACAACGACGACCTTGATGGAGTAGCAGCCTTCACCGACGACCTGCGTCGAGTGGATTGGCCGGCCGGCTTCAAGCCGACTGGAATAGAGAAGTACGACGGTACCACTAACCCAGAATCATGGCTTACCGTCTACGGTCTCGCAATCCGCGCAGCAGGAGGAGACAACAAGGCCATGGCGAACTATTTACCAGTGGCTTTAGCGGATTCCGCCCGATCTTGGCTCCATGGACTGCCCCGTGGTACAATTGGATCTTGGGCCGAACTACGCGACCACTTCATCGCCAACTTCCAAGGCACCTTCGAGCGTCCCGGCACACAATATGATCTCTACAACGTCATTCAGAAGTCCGGAGAATCCCTTCGAGATTACATCCGGCGATTTTCTGAACAACGTAACAAGATCTCCGACATCACCGACGACGTCATCATCGCCGCGTTCACCAAAGGAATTCGCCACGAAGAACTAGTCGGCAAGTTTGGGCGTAAGCCTCCCAGGACAGTCAAGCTTATGTTTGAAAAGGCCAACGAGTACGCCAAAGCTGAAGACGCCGTCACCGCATCAAAGCAGTCGGGTCCCAGTTGGAAGCAAAACAAGGGTACGCCGACTACGGGAGGAGGTGGAAGTAACAATCATAAGTACCGCAAGCGTAAGCCTGCGGAACTTGTTGCAACCGCCAGTCACTCTTCTCGACAGCGTTCGCGCGTCAACACGTTCGACAAGATCATGAACTCCCAATGCCCGCACCATCCTAACTCCAACCACGTGGCCAAAGATTGTTTCGTCTACAAGCAATTCGCGGATCAATACACCAAGACTGCACGGAAGAACTATGACGAAGAACAAAGCACATCGAGGAAGAAGGACGACGGCGACACCCCGGCAGGTTTTCAAGATCACCGCAAGGAGCTCAACCATATCTTCGGCGGCCCCCTGGCTTATGAGTCTAAACGGAAGCAGAAGTTGACTGAACGGGAGATCAATGCTGTTCAGCCCGACACGCCCCAGTATCTTCGATGGTCAGAGATTGCAATCAAGTTTGACCGCTCGGATCATCCTGACCGAGTGGTCCACCCGGGGCGGTACCCCCTGGTACTAGACCCAGTGGTCCGTAATGTCAAGCTTCGCAGAACCCTCATCGACGGTGGCAGTGCACTCAATATCCTCTTCGCCAAGACCTTGGACGATATGCAGATTCCTCGCTCCGAGCTAAAACCAAGCAATGCGCCTTTTCACGGAGTAATTCCAGGATTATCCGCAACTCCACTCGGCCAGATCACCCTCCCAGTCACTTTTGGCACTCGGGAAAACTTCCGCACAGAGAACATCAGCTTTGAAGTCGCTGATTTCGAAACAGCATACCATGCCATACTCGGACGCCCGGCGTTAGCCAAGTTCATGGCCGTCCCGCACTACACTTACATGATGATGAAGATGCCTGGTCCCCGAGGAGTCCTATCCCTACGGAG